GGTATGATAGTTGTGAAGTTGTTTTTTAACCTTTCAGTTTTAATATTTCTGGTAAAATGTCAACAAAAAGGACAAAAAAATGGATTTGCTTTATTAAAAATACAGAAAATATAGTTAAATTCAAATTAAATGAATATTTTTAACGCTATTTTTAGATTTTAAAAAATTTGGATATTTCTTGTGAAATTTTACTACTCAGGTAAATAGAAATACTATAACCCCATTTTTGAATCTTTCGAATTTTTTAAATCTTTTTATTTACTTTTTTAAAAAAGTTTTAAAACGTTAAATAATTTCATATATGAAATTTTTTTCTGTCCTATAAAAAATATTAACTTTTAAACATATCATCATGTTTTAAAATTATTTTTGCGCTGAAAATCTCGTTGATCATTACAACTGATTAATGAAAACTTAATTTTTGTATTTTAATTATCAATATAAAATGTTGATAATTAACCAAAAACATGACATTGTTAATGTTATATTAAAAAACAATTTTTATTATTATATTGAAATGAACTATTATAATTTTACTTAATTTTAATTTAAAAATGTATTTTCTGCAAAGATTTTATTATTTGATTGAAATTATAAATATTTTATTGATGGCTTTGACATTAAAAACAATTTTACGAGGTTTGGATGTCGACATTTAATTTAAGAGGAAAATCCTCTTAAATGAAGAATAATAATTTTGATACCAAAATTAAGAGGAAAATATGCATTTATTTTAGAGGAATCCTCTAGATTGAAAATTACTTTTTTTAGGGTGTAGTAATCGACTATTGATTTTTTTTCAGTTTAATACATTGGAAAATGTCGATTAATTACCTGGATCTCAGACTGAAACGTTGAATAGGTTCCTATAAGTAATTAACATGCAAAATATGATTAACCTAAACTTTAAATATGCTTCTGGGTACTTCCTAGTGTTAAATGAAACTTTTTAAATACTTACAAAAATTTTTTACGCCTTAAACAAAAGTTTTTTGTTTCAGAGACACCTACAATGCTTCACGTAAGGGTTAACAAGTTTGAGGGAATTTTTTCTGAGAAATTCCCGGGAGTCTCCCGGGAACTTTTTCACGTGGGGAGTAGTTTTGTTTGAAAAAAATATATAACGAAGGTGAATATTTAAGCTTTAATAATCAATAAAATTTTTACGCGCTTTCAGACTTTTTTGTAATGAAATTAATGTATATCGTGTAAAAAACCAACATTTTCAACATATGAATAGTGAAGACGTGGCAACTCTGTAAGGAGAACAGCAGATCCCACGTGACGTGAGGAGAAAGGGTTTTAAGCGCGCGTAAAATTGCTGTATAACCTCACTTTGTTGTTGTTCGATTCCTTCCATTTTATCTGCAGAATTTATAGTTTTCCATAAATTTTTTCCACTTTCCTGCATTTTTAATCTTCTCTCATACACTTTTTTTGAAATAATTCTCCCGTTCCACCGATAGATTTTTATAAAATTTCGAAACTTGACATGTGCATACACAACAAAAACAATGCGTTATTTCTAACAGCAGACGACGGCCGTAAGAGAGACAGAGCATGGTATTGCTGCCAACGTTGAATAATTAAAAACTTTGCATTGCGACGTTGTCGCTATTGGCGATTCAAACAGCTACACTAGCGCCACAGTTGAACTAATTTAGGTGTGACTCGCTCTGTAGCACTCCATGTGTTTTAAATTATTTTTTTTTATTTAACGCTTAAAAATAATTTTACAAACGCAATAAAAATATCAGAATAATTAAATAATTTGAAATAAACTGTCAAAACAGAGACTGCTTTAGAGCGAGTCACGCCTAAATTAGTTCAACTGTGGCGCTAGTGTAGCTGTTTGAATCGCCAATTATGAGCTTGTTAAGAATTGTTATTTTAAAGTTTAAAAAAATTAATTTATTGGAATTCCAGCATTTTATGCCAAATTCTTACTTATTAAATAAATTTCTTCAAGATTTGAAGTGAAATCTTTCATAAATTAATAACTCTATTTCATGAAACTTTCATAAATTTCGTTTTCTTAGGTTGCAGATTCGTACAATCAGTAACAAGAATTGTTCTTTGTTTTTACAAAAAATGTTAATTTCTTAAATTTACTAGCTTTTATTCTTAAAATATACATTTTTTAGTAATAATCGGTGTAGACTTTTGTCATTTTTAAAGTTAAAAGAGCGATATGTACCTTAAATAAAAAAATCGGACAAGTGCGAGTTACACTCGCACTGAAATCGAGGGTTCCGTACTCGAAGCGAACTTATTTGGTATAAAAACAAATGTTTAAAAAATATGTGTTGTATGACAACTAATATAAGTGATACAAAAAGGAACAATTTTCTTGAATTTTACAAAATTGTTCCTTTTTGTATCACTTATATTAGTTGTCATACAACACATATTTTTTAAACATTTGTTTTTATACCAAATAAGTTCGCTTCGAGTACGGAACCCTCGATTTCAGTGCGAGTGTGACTCGCACTTGTCCGATTTTATTTTTTAAAAAATATTTTACTAAAAAAATATAAGAAACATAATTTTATTTCAACTCGCAATATTTTTATTGTATTTACATTTTAAAAATATATTGAATATTAAATTTTATCTTTCTAAGTCAAAAAGAGATAAAACTTAAGATATTGATATAAGGCTAGTAGCTGCTTGTCAAGGAAAAATCGAAAGTTATCTAAAAAATAAAATTTGTTTATTAATTCCAGAAAAATCAACTCCAATCATCCTCGCTATATTTTTTTTGTAATCTACACGTAAAAATACGTCAAAATATATAAATTTGAATCACTGTAGAAAAACTTTTTTCGTTTTTTGCGGAAAAATACATTTTTTTCTGAAATTTATCATTTTTCTTCAAAAATTTGATAAAAATTGATCATCAACTCCAATCGCGCTTACATTTTTTCCCTGTATTTTTCACGCAAAAATTGAGTTTTACAGCAAGTATGAACAGTCTGGATTGAATATTGTGTGCGCTAGGGAGAATAAATCATTTTTTTCGAAATTTTTGATTTTTCCTTGACAACGCTATGTAAATTAATCCGAATCAAGTTCGCTATAATTTTCCTGTAATTTTCACGTAAAAATACGTAAGTGTGTCAAATTTGAGCTCTTTATGTCAAAAGATGTGGCCGCTAGGGGGGGGGTACATACTCATTTTTAGGTATTTTTCGTAAAAATTCATGGTTTTTCCTTGACAACGCTATGATAATCAACTCCAATCATACTCGCTATATTTTTCTTGTAATCTACACGTAAAAATACGTTAAAATATATAAATTTAATTTCCTTTAAATAAAATTTTGTTCGTTTTTGGTGGAAAAATACATTTTTTTCCTAAAATTGTCATTTTTTCTTGAAAAACTTGATAAAAAGTTAATCATCAACTCTAATCGTGACCGCTTTTTTTCCCCTGTATTTTTCCCGTAAAAATACATTTGTATACTAAATATGATCTGTCTGGGTTGAATATTGTGTGCGCTAGGGAGAATAAATTATTTTTTTCGAAATTTTTGATTTTTCCTTGACAACGCTATGTAAATTGATCCGAATCAAGTTCGCTATAATTTTCCTGTAATTTTCACGTAAAAATACGTAAGTGTGTCAAATTTGAGCTCTTTATGTCAAAAGATGTGGCCGCTAGGGGGGGGTACATAGTCATTTTTAGGCATTTTTCGTAAAAATTCATGGTTTTTCCTTGACAACGCTATGTTAATCAATTCCAATCAAGTTCGCTATAATTTTCCTGTAATCTACACGCGAAAATACATATGTGTACTAATTTTCAGCCCTCCAGATAAATTTATGTGGCCGCTAGGGGGGGGGGGGGTACACGATTTCAAAAAAACCGATATTAATAGGGTTCCGAACCGAGTACGGAACCCTAAAAAATACAAATTTCTCAAAATGTCACCAACTTTTTGCCAGCATTCCTCTTTAATTATGGATATATGTATTATTTCAATACCAAAACGGATTGAAATAATAATAAGTTCAACGCTTTAATTCATCAAAAAAATAAAATTGCAAACTTTAAAAAATTGGACTTAGAAACATTTATAGGGGCAATCCATAAACTACAATCATTAACAAATTTTTTATTCTTTTTAGACCCTATCCCCCCCCACCCTCGTTACCATTGCGTTAAATCAATTTTTATAGATTTTTTGACACCCTTCCCCCCCCCTAAAATAGGTAACGTAGTTTAAGGATGGCTCCTTAGGTATATTTACGAAATACAAAAAATAGATTATTTTTAACTTTTATGGTATTAGGGGTCATTAAGCATCTAAGGGGGAGGGAGGGGGTCATACAAAATTCTTATTTTTTTCATTACAACATTCCTATTTAGGGGAGGGGAGGGGTCCGGAATCCTTGAAAATATTTCTGACAAATAAAATACTTTATATTTAAAAAATTTAGAAAAATAGAGGGATAAAAAAACTTTTATTTAGATTTTAATTTAAAAATTAAAACAAATCGTATCCAAATTAAATTGCTAATTGTTTTAACTAATTCTTAGTCAGAAATGACTAATATTGATAGTATAGAAAGCTATTAATTCATTTATTAAAATTTACAAAACTGAAACAGTATCCTTTAAATGAATTAGTCAAAACAGTTATACTAATTAATATTAGTCAAAAGTGACTAATTTAAATATAGTTTTAAACTTAAAATAAACAAACAATTCTTCAATTGAATGTGTTATTAAAAATTTATCTCTTCTCCACTTATCATTAAAAAATATCTTCTTTTTTTTGTTATTTTTTAGCATTTAATAAAATTATCAAAATTTTTTTTAATTTAAAAAAATATATTCTTTTACCCTCGAAATTCAAAAAAATCTATGACTTTTCAATGTGCTACCATCTTGCGCTAAATGAGAAAAGCTACGAGAGGTCATCATCTCGTTTGCGCATGCATCTTGTTTATCGACAAGAATTTTCGTTCGAACAAATGACTATCTAAATAAGGGAGACGAGGGAAGAGTGAGCACATTGTGCGTGTGCAAATAGTTCTCTGGTGGTGCGTGTCTACTGGACTCTGACACTCCGGGAACATAGGAACTTGGCTCTTGTGTAGAAAGACATGTGTTTCGTTTGACATATATATATATATATATATATATAATTTTCAATTTTCAATTATTACACGTATTTTTTCTTTTTTTTTAACTAGAAAAAATCGTACACCAAGTGAATTTTTAATATTTTTAAAAAAATATTTCTTGTGAACAATTTTTTAATCGATAGCATTCAAAAAAAATATCACAGTCAATTCTGCAGAGTTTAAAAGATAGAAAGGGGGGAATAAAATAAAAAAAAAATAGTGGGGTCAATTTGATAAAATATTGCGAAAGGAAAAAATTTTATTTACCATGGTTAGAGGTGAGGAAAAAAAAGCAAGTACGAGAATTGATATTGAAAAAGCAAAATGGGATCAAAGCAATTATACGGGAAGGGCCAGACATTTTTTGACCTTGACGAATCCCTTAAATGTATTTGCATCAACGAGCCAATTGGAGCGGGCTCGAGACATCGTTCAAAAATACAGGTACATAACTTGTTTGACCACTATTATATCTATATACTTTTCATTATTATATTAAGGCCTAGTCACTTTGATACCTTATAATATAGGTTTAGAATAAATTTTATATTTTACGAACTGTATAGTTCATCGTTAATTTATTCTAAGTTTATTTAATTTAATTATAATAATTTTTTTTTGCATAAATAACGATCACAATTCGTTAAATTTTTCCTTACACATCGTCCTCCTACCTTTTTTTCTTTTCATATATGTTAAGTTTTATTTAATTAATTTTAATAAACAATAATTTGAAAATAAAATCATAATAAATTATTGAACTTCTTAATTATTTTTATTTTATATGTAAATAAATTACAAAACCCAACTCATTAGTTTAATGAATTTGTGTCAAGGTAATGTAACAATAATTAGCAATTTTGACTTTAAAATTAATATTCTAAGTAGGTGTATAAAATAAATGCAGAAAATTTATACTTTAAAAAATGTTCGGTTCACAAAACTATTTCTTTTTCCTATTTTTGTAATCAAGGCCACATTTTGTTTTTCAATATCTTTGAATCTGATATTGTGGTGAACCATATGTGAATTATAATATCAAATTATTTTCATTTTTCTTGAAATAAATATTTGTATATCATTTTTTTTTTTTTTTTTTTTTTTTTGAATTTCAAAATATTCTAAGATTTTATATTACAGAAATAATTTGAACTTTTATCGTTTTAAGCAAATACCATTTATTTGAATCTATATCAAAATGTAAATGTTAAAAATTTTGAGAAGGTCAAGCTTGAATTAATATTACGAACGATATTTAAAAAATATTTCAATAATAGAAAAATAACTAAATTTTTTTTTATGAAAAATGAATGAATTAATATGTAATAGGTATCATTTGAGAGAATTTGTAAATTATTTTAATGGCATTGAAATGTAAATGTATTTAAAAACCAATAAGCTTTTTAGAAGAGTATATACATATTATAGCCTTAGGAATAAAAATTGTGTGCGAAAAGTGTTCTCAATCATTTCTCACAATAAGTCAATGAGAATCAATTAAGATCTAATTTGTAATGATACAAGCAAAAATATCCAACCGCAGTTGATTCTTTTCTTTAATAATCTGTTTAATATTCAAAATTGCTAATGAATGAAATAACAATTGAACACATAATTACGTTAGGTGTTTACGGATAAAAACTCTCATTAATAATTAAACATCAAGCAACTTAATAAACTATTATAAACACTATATATATGCAAATTTATGTTAACTTTTAAAAAAATATACAATTCCTTTGATTTTTTTCTCATTTTCTTATTTTTATTGTTAATATACATTTTTTTAATTAAAAATTGCAATTTTTAATTTTAATCAACAATTTTACGCGCAAGATAATAAAAATGGAAAATCATACATAGAAGTTCGCAAATAAACAATAAATTTCATATCAATATTTGAAAAAAAATTATCTTCTTAGTGGAGAAAATGATAAAACTTTAAGAAAATCTTTTATATGTTTAAATTTGTAACATTAAAGACAAAGGTTTCCTATCTCGAGTACGAGGTCATGACTCAATTAAAATAGCTGTTTATCAAAAGATCAAAAACCTCAATAAAATACGAATTTAACATTCATTTTAAATTCTGTCTAAACAATTTGCGTCGCACATTAACACAAACCTTATAAGTAATGTTAAAAATAGCATATAGCTACGTCAAAGTGTCTTCACTTTATAACAATTTTAAAAATATTCCAAAGTAAAAAAAAAATCCCCCAAAGTAAAAATTACATTTTCTATTAAATAAACTATTATAAATAGAAATACTAAATATTTATAATAAATAAATAAAATAAAAATTTAATTTAATATAATAAAAAAATGGAAAAATATAATTTGCAGAAATTTATCTCTCTAAATTATATATAAAATTCAAGACTTTCACAAAATTTTCATCAAACTTTTAAATAAAAAAAATAATGACTAAAATTAATTAGAAAATTACAGCTACTTGCGAGAAATTTGAAACAAGTAAATCTTTCTTCACATAATAAAAATGTTATCTTACATTTTTATAAACATGTTGATTAATAATAAAGTTGATTGAAATTGAGACGAACATATATATATATACGGATTTGATATAATTAATAATATATCGATCAGATTTATTTTCCCTCTTACTTTGTAAACGACTTTCGTGTTCATTATTTTATAACATAAAATCATCCCGGATAGCAATAAAACATTTACTGCTAACTTTCATAAATGTTAATTTTAGGTCATTTCAAATTATGATTATTGTTACTATTATTGTATCAGTAGCTTTAAAAAATCATTTTAAGAAAAATTTTAATTTTTCTCCGCGACTGGATTTGAACCCAAAACTGAACGCGCCATAAAGTTACGCCTTAAGTTCCACAGGCAAAGTTTTTTTTCGTTTTTTATAAATTTTGTAGCAAAGTACAGCTATTGTTTCATGTTTATTGTTATCTTACTACTGTAATTATTTATTTTTTTAAAATAAATATTAAAAAGAATAGCCAGTGAAAATAAATATAATTAAAAATTCATATATATATATTAATGTCATTGAATAATATTTAGGAAAGGATCAACTTTAGAGGAATTGAAAATCACGGAAGATGAATTATGGACGAATAAATATCTTTACGACAGCGCCTATCATCCAGATACTGGCGAGAAAATGACCCTGATTGGACGCATGAGCGCACAAGTTCCAATGAACATGATCATCACTGGATGCATGATGACGTTCTACAAGTATGCAAATATCTCGAGACACATTCAGTAAAGCTACTACTCTCTTTCACCGATTACAATCAAAATAGGCAGCCCCAGAAAATCCAACGGCTGGAAATCATTTCTCGCAATAAATGGCAGTTTTTATAGACTGCGATAAGGTTAGCCGCGACCCCTCACCTTTCTTTTATATATTGTATTATACTAATCCAGTTTCTCATTTATTCTCTATTTAATAATAATAATAATAATTTAATCACAAATAATCCTCCCAGTAATCATTATTAATTGTTTATGTTAATTAATTTATATTAATTAGCTGAAAGTTGTAACCAATTTTCTGTAATTAACATAAAATATAAAAAATAGTATTTATTTGTGAGAAGATTCTTGATTCTTTGAATAAAATTTAGAAAGTTTGAAATTTATTTAGGAAAATTTTTTCGTAGTAAATTAAAAATTTTATACAATTGGCATTGAAAAATTTTGTAGAACTGACTCTCGACATGTCTATAAAAGCTTCACTGAATTGTCGTCCTCTTTCTTTCTTTTTTTGTTCTAATTGTTCATTAAGGGTGTTAAGTAATCTGAGAAATTGTTATGAAATTCAACTCTATTGTTCTTTTTTTTTAAATGTCTTTTTGATATGATTTAAATGTTAAATTATGCAATTTCCAAGATTACAACCCTTGAAAATCAGAAATTACTATAAATAAGTGAACATTTTTTTTTGTAGATCAACACCAGCAGTGGTTTTTTGGCAATGGTGTAATCAATCGTTTAATGCTCTGGTCAATTATACGAATCGAAGTGGATCATCGCCAATTCCAGTGGAAACTTTGATACAAAGTTATGTGGGCGCAACAGGAGGTGCTGTTGTCACGGCTCTTTCTTTAAATCGATTGGCGAAACGAGCGCCACCATTGGCAGGACGTCTTGTGCCACTTGCTGCAGTGGCAGCAGCCAATTGTATCAACATTCCTCTCATGCGAATCACTGAACTCAAAAATGGCATTGAACTTCAAAATGAGAATGGAGATAAAGTTGGCAACAGTAAAAAAGCAGCGCGAGAAGCTATTGCCTCAGTAACTGTCTCTCGAATTCTTATGGCTTCACCTAGTATGGGTGTGTATTATTTTCTCCCTGACGTCAATTTAGTCTCACAATAAGAATAACTCTAGTATAGGGGAGGATGGGGCAAGGATAGTTAGTGGCTCTATTGCCTATACGGCTTGTTCAAAAAGGGCACTATTCTTCATATATACTTGTTTTAACACCAAAAGACGTCAAGAAAAATTTGATCTTGATGCGATATCATTTGTGGAAGCTACGTGTTTATTTGTGAAAATCCTGTTTTTTTCTAAAATGTCTCAGTTCTGTTTAAAACACTGTTTCAGATATTAACTGTTTTAAATATTTATTTATGTCCAAAAAATTTTTTTGGTAGTGCTTTGAAGTGTTTTGAGGTGCTTTTATTCAATGAAATTAAAAAAAAACCCCAAATTTAATGTCTTTTTTTGATTATTTTTCGTAAAAAGAATTTTGATAACAATTTTGATTTAACGATAGTTAAATTTTTTTTTAATTTTCTGCTAATATCTCAAAGGCACTGCAATCCACAGCAAAATAATGTATTACAAAATTGTAGCTAAATAAACAGGCTTTCGAACGATACTATTCTTTTTCCGATGCCTGTTGAATTTTAGCTACTAGGTCCAAAAATGTTTTACCTAACTATCTTTACCCCATCCTTCCCTACCTCAAGTTTTTGAGATATTAAGACATTTCCAAATGCATAATCTAATTACATTTTCTTAACAGTGCTGGCACCCGTGGTGATGAACTACATAGATCGCAAACAATTGCTAAAAAATGCAAAATGGGCTGGAGCACCGATTCAAGTGGCCCTTTGTGGAATTTGTCTAACATTTGCAACTCCCCTGTGTTGTGCCCTTTTCGCTCAAAGAGTCAAAGTTCCTGTAGAACGTCTCGAGCCTGATGTTCAAGAACAAATATATTCTAAGGATAAGAGTCTAACAAATGTTTTCTATAACAAAGGTCTTTAAATGTCATGTTCACTATTTGAAGATATTTCATTCAAACCTCATCACTTCCAGCAATTGAAGTATTGTCAATTTAGCAATAAGATTTATGTAGAGAAAAAGAAAATATATAACGCATTCTTGAGGGATGCAGAACGCTATATCAAAACTAAATGATGTAAATGATTATTATTATATTATTATAACCAGGAATCTCAACGACATTCATGAAAAATTTTAAATGAATGAAATAAAATATGCATTTTTTGTGATTATTTAAAATTTATTTTTCTCCAAACTTAACGCACTTTAAAGACTTGTAATCTCCACTATGCTGTGAAACTTTATGACAATAAAGAAAAAGTTTATTCAGTCTAAATTTTTTGTTTTTTAAATTATTCACATTCTTATTTATATGTATTTTCAAAAATTCAATTTTTGAAAAACGTTTACACGGAGAGAAATAGATGATACGGGGTACTATCTAGATAGTACCAGGTACCATATTTGATCTTACATATACGGACAGCAATCTAGATTCTATCAGTTACTATCCAGATTGTACGGAATAACATCTTGATTATAGTGGGTAACATAACCATATTTTTTTATAACATCTTTGATAGTACCGAGTAGCATAATGATGGTACCGGATAACATTTACTTTTTACCATCTTAAGATCATAAGTTCTTACCATCTATTTCTCTCCGTGTAGTTTTTAATTAAAAAGTTTTTATCTCTATGAAAAAGCAAAGTGTTTATGAAATAATAAGTCATAATCGAGTTGAAGGTAAACTATTATTTGGCAGCGGTTTTTTCATAATGAAAATCAAAAAAATTAAAATATGAATATATTCTAATTCAATGTGGGTGTACATTGATAATAAAAATTACATAGTATTTTCTGGAATATAATTATATCCGGGCATAGAAAATTGATATCTAAAAAATGGAACCTCTTTGCGTAATTGAACTTTTCTTACAGGTTTCATGGGTCTGATTTTTCGTCCATGACGACCGGTTTTCTTCTGTTTGAGACCACTTCTCGGCCTGTTGCCTAATTCACGATTTCGTTGTGCACTGCCAATGGGTGTTGAGGCATGTGTTACATTTGACACTTGACCAACCACGGCGAGACACTCTTTCTCGAAACTAAATTCTATCGGTCGTTTACCGGGCATTCGAACGACAACTCGATCATCATTATCCTTTCGTAAAATAACGCCCTTGACACCAGCGGCACTTAGAAAAAAACAACCTTTCCCAGGATATTTTTCAACGCAATGAACTTCAGTGCCTATTGGAAGTGCACCAAGAGGATGTGCATCCCCTTCCTGTGGCTTAACTGGCATTCGAGGAATGTGACGTGACGTTCTAATAATATCACCTTCTTTCATATTAACTGATGCTATTATATATTTGAGTTCATTTCCAGAGCCAACAAGAGCCATATCGGCTGTTCGGCAACCATCTTTAAAAATTTTCAAAACCTTCTCCTCCTTTGGTGGACCTTCATTTGGACCATCTCTCAACCATTTGACTTGATGAAACTTGTGTTTAATTCCTCCACCGATACCTTTGCAAATTAATCTACCTGTTAAAACAAAAACCAAAAATAGTTAAAGTGATAGTCCTTTCAGCAAAGAATTTGCTGCCTCATAGAGAAATTTTTTGAAAAATTACAATTAATTCTATTAATTTTCAGTAAAACGTATACTTTATGTATAGCTCAATGGATTTGTTTTGTTGCAAGAAATATAATTGTAGTATATATTAAGGGGAGGGACCGCTGAAATTTCAACCTTTCGAAATTAAGGATGTAAATTTTTTTCTGTTAATTTTAAATATATTTAAAACTGTAATATACTATCGAAAATTGAAAAACAATTAATTCACTAATAATTTTTAATATAAAACTAGAAATTTTTAAAAATTTAAAATTCTGTCGTAATTTTTATTATTTTTCATTGCTAATTTTTTATACACTTTTTTCATGATTTTGAACAATTAAACGTGTAGATTTTGAAAAAATTCAATTTTTTCAAAAAAAAAATTCCTGGAAAATAAAAAAAAATTGTAAAATTGAAATATAATTTCAGGTTCTAAAAAATTAATTGTTCTGAAATTTTGTAAGCTTATTACAGTCATCAATATCTAAAATCAGACACAAGGATTTAAAAAAATATACACATAATTTTTTTTTATGGCATTTTTTATGATTTTTTTCAATCTATAAATTATTAAAAATTATAATGTCATTGTAAAATAAAACAGTAAATTAAACAATTATTAAATTAAATAACTTCTTTCTAGATTTTTAAAACAATATTTTGTAATAAAATTCGTATTTAAAGAAGTTGCAAAAAAAATTTCGTTCATTTGAACGTTCAAAATTTTTGGCTCATCATTTTTTCAAAAATTCGAAAATATGTTTTTTGAGCAAAAAATTTTTTACACTGTAAATATAATTTTTTTTGTCCAAAAAACTGATTTCTCGCTTTAAAACGAATTGATATACCTATATAAAATCTATATTTTACTTAAAATCTATAAATTACTTATATCATTTTTTAATTTTTGAAAAAAAAATTTTTTTGTATTTTTTAAAATAAATTTTTTCTTTATGAAAATTTTTAATAAATTTTGTCAGCCTTGTAGTCCTGGCATGAAAACAAATCGATTGATGTAGGAGAGAGTGGCAAACAGTGGGACACTTTTTTTCAAAGACATATTAATATGTTAATTTTATATATTTTTGAACACTTTTTGGTATTACCATAAAGTTTCAACTCTTTTCTACACAATGCACATATTCTATTAAGATTATATTGTGATTAAATAAAAAAATTTGAAGTTTTTGAAACTTGATACATTTTTCTTGTTTTGAAGGTTTGTGTTTAACAGTGGGACACCTATTATTAAGAACCGAATAATTATTTCAATTATAATATTCTGCTTCATACTTTGTAAATATATATTTTTTGCATTAAATAACGTTAACAAATGTTGCAAAACATTCATAATTTAATAATATTTTACATTTTTATAATACGATGTCAAGTTTCATATAAAAAATTGCTATTATTTTTTTTCACGTTTACAGTACTGCTGATCATACGTCATAATTTGGTCCTAACCTAAAAACAATTTGGAGCAAAATTTGAATAGTCGTTCTCTTATCAAGTGTTATTTTTTAAATGTTGTCGAACAATAATTGTAATAATTATTAATTATAAATTTTGAATTTTTTATTGTTTTTTAGCATAAAAAAATCACATTTTTAGTAATCCACGTTTCATAATGTGCCAAAAGTTTTGAACGTACAAATGAACAAATTTTTTCTCAACTTCTTTAAGTATGAATTTTATTACAAAATATTGTTTTAAATACCTAAAAAGAAGTTATTAATTTAATAATTGTTTAATTTACTGTTTTATTTTACATTGACGTTATAATTTTTAATAATTTATAGATTGAAAAAAATATTTTGTTCATTTGAACGTTCAAAACTTTTGGTTCATGTTGCATAAACTTAAATTTTTGCCTTCCCAGTGTTGAATGTCCCACTGTTTAAATTAAGCAATCGCAAGAAATTATTTAAATAAAAATTGTTTGTGAAATTTTAAATTATTTTATATTATACTTAAAAACATGAGTAAACGAAGTAACAATTACAATTTTTTTTAAACTGTCCTTTCTATATAAAAATGAGCATTGTATTTCAGGAAAAAATTTACTCTGGTACGTCAAAAACAATTTTTCTCAATTTTCTTTGTAATTAATGAATCAATGTGGTTGAAATTTTCAGCTATAGTATGTTGTCATAAACATGGTTTACATTTAAATTTTGGTCGAGTTTCTTTAAGTAGTTTTTCAGAAAATTAAACTGTCCTACTGTATAAACTGTCCCACTGTTTGTCACTCTCCTCTATATAAAGTTTACATTTTACCAATATTTACAAAATTGATCGATATTTTTATTTTTAACAAAAATTTGAATTTTTTTAAAACTAATAATATATAAGTGTTTATCATGATGAGGAAGCTAAATGGTAATGAAATGGACAAATTTTTAAATTGTTTTTAATAAACAAAAATATGAAATTACCAGTATTAGGATCCCTTCCAGCAAGATTTGTAACATTTAGTGGTTCAATTGTATAGTGATCTTTGAAATGTACAATGCGTCGAAAAGCTTGATTTCCTTTTCCCGGCTGTGGTAAAATCATAGGTCTCCATATTTTTGTTCCTACTCTTTTTGTTGTAGTTATTGGTAGTTTTGGATATAAACCATTATGATTTGCGTATGATGCACTTAAATTAATTTGTGGCAAAATACGTTTAAGAAATGTACTCCTCGACATTTTTTTAGGTTATATCATGTTTTGATAGAAGCACGATAGAAGCGTCACGTGGTTAGAACTTCTAAGCGAACTCGATCGGTAAGTCAGGAATTTATTAAAAACTTGATATGTTATGTTACCTGGCGTCAATATTACTGAAGTAAAGAATAGTTTCTACATTTCAGACATAGATATCACTATTGTCATTTTCTTGTTTATAAATTTTGACTTTATATTTAACTTCTCATTTTATGATAGAAAAATTTTAGTATAAGAATATAATAGCTATAGATTTTATATATAACAATTTCTTCAGTAAGTTCTTTATGTAAAATTTGTATAAAACATTTTCTTTAAATGAAATATATTTTTGATAAATTAAAGATAATTTTTCTCACAATATGATCACTGCAAAAACGGATGTTTTATTTTAAGACATTTTATCGTGTCTTAGATTTTGAACAATGAGTTACAGTAGCTAATTTTTTTCTTCGTGCAATAAGTCTTTAAAATTAAAAAAATTCTTCTATGATTTGATAACCGTGAAATATAATTCTGATATATACATTTATATACATATATGCTCATATCGTGGAAAACAATGGATTATATGTTCTTGTCTCTCTTTCACATCTTTAACGTCTCGCTTGTGTGAGTGAACTTCAATTGTGATCATACAATACCGTAAGTGTCGAAGTGTAAAATCCTCTTTCTTTAAACCCTTTATCGAATTTATTACAGTTGAATACTTCGAATCCATTATCATACATTTCACAAGCATTCGTATACAATGGCCGCACAATTACTTATCTATAAACTTTAGGGTAGTCACTAAATTTTGCACGCTTTTGAAATGTCATGTAAACTCTTGCATTTTAATAGCTTTTGTTATTAAATCTGCCTCTTTCAATTTAATTATTATATACGCTTTAATTAAATTGGGTCGTATATATACACGCGCGATTTACAAAAATATAATTAACAATACCTATTTATACTGTTGATTACAGTTCTCCTCCATTTTTTAAATTATGAATTCACTGCAAAAATAGGTGACTTACTTGGTGTATCTTACAATAAGATGTATAAGATGGAAAAATGATATCTTCAACTCTCTAAATCTGAATTAGTAGTTTTCCACTATAATGAAAGTGTGGATTCGTTTACCAATTGAATTAGTAACAGTTTTGACTCTTTTTTTTACACTCTAAATCTGCTCTCTAAATTTGAATCAGCGAAACGTCGCTAATTTGCAGCTATAAGTATACTCTCTTAATTTGAATCAGTGAAATTTCACTGGTGAAATAGCTAGAAGTCGGTTACTGAATCATTTAGTGAAATTTTCACTGAAAATCAGTCATATATCACTGATTTCCAGTGAAAATTTCACTAAATGATTCAGTAACCGACTTCTATAGCTATTTCACCAGTGAAATTTCACTGATTCAAACAGCGTATATATATATATATATATATATACATACTTATAGCTGCCCAATCAGCGATTTTCCGTTGACTCAAATTTAGAGAGTGAATTAGTGAAAATTTCACTGATTTGAAGTCAGTGAAATTAATTAATTTAAGTATAAAATATTCTTAAATATATATATATATATATATATATATATATATTCTTAAATAAGCGCTAAGAATATATTCTTAATTTCAGTTTACGGTTTTTCCTGTGTAAAGTATTTTTTTAATTTCTAAGACACTTTATATGTTTTATCAAAAATTAAAATGTTGTTTCCATCTTAGAATCTAAGTTACTTCGGAAAGATTCTTGAAGTATCTTAGATTAAGATGTTTGCGTTTTTATAAGATTATATGTTTTGAAAATAAAACACTTGTGAATCGTATAAGATATACGTCATCTTTGGCAAAGATAATATTAACATCTTAAACTAAGACCACCACACGGAAAGAAAGTTTGTAGCAATATTTGATATTATGGTGTTACTTTTTAGTATATTTGGTTACAATTGCGGAACATTTTAGCATGATAACGATTTTCGATTCCCATTTTTAAGAATGATTGAGATTAAAATAAGAATATTTAATATAGTTGGAAAGAAAATTTGATATAATATTTACAAAATCTGAAATCTTTTTATTGAAACACAAAAATGTCAAATTTTAATAAGCTCTTTATCAATTTTTCTAACCAAATATTTCAAATTTCGTAATTAGAATTGTATAAAATGATATAATTATTTCAGATTTTGATATATTTGATATGAAAATTGAAAAAGAAATATCAGAGTTAACGAGATTCGACGAAATTTGCCGAAGTTAAACGTTCGGAATTGCCCGATCCTCACCGAGTGGTAACGAAGACTGACGAAGCTCTTTAGACAAGCCCCTTTTTACCATTATCTTGATACAGACCTGAATTTCTTTTATTAATTAATTTCGAAAATTTTACAATAAATCAGTAAAAAAAATTGTTCTTCAAAAAATAATAAAATATTTAATTATTTCCCAATAAATAATGATTTTTATTTATATCTTTAAACATGTTTTGATATAATTTCACCTTTCTCATAAGCGGTGAAAAATATGTCTGGTTAGTATATAAGAATGGTCACATCAGTTTTTCACATGAGCGTAAATTTGTATATGAAGCGTTATTCTGCGAATGTTATACGTATTATCGTTAGTATAGGTTAGGAATAAAAATAAGCCAATCGATGTAAAACAATGAGGTGTATGTGTGTGTGTGCATTTAAAAGTTCATATCCTCGTCTATCCTCGAGATGAGAAAGAGATAAAACGTTGGCGTAGAATCTATTGGTGTTTCTGTCGTCATTTGTCACGACTGAACCACTTCGAATTTTTAGTATAGTTTTAACAAATTTCGAAATAATCTTTCCAAATTTTCATATAAATTTAGTAAATAATGAAGTGCGCGTCGGTTTAATTTACTTCTGGTTTTTCATATAAATTTATCAATTTACGAAATAATAATTTCAATTTCTGGAATATATTTACTAAAAAGACTATTGGTAAAAATATACCGATTTTCGTTATCAAACCCAAATGTTCCGCGTTTGAAAAAGAGAAAACTAAAATTTCCTACCAGATTTATCAAATATTGCTACTAAATTTCTTTCCGTGCAAAACATTTTAAATTAAGATAGGTACTTCTTTTTGCAGTGATTATTGTAAAAATTGTTTAATTTCAAATTATTATCAATATATTTACTTACTACTTTTTAATAACTTTTAATTAAATGAATTAAAATTTTTACAAAGATTTTATTTCCTTTCATAATAAAATTAATTTATTTATTAATATTTTTCTAATTTATTATAGGTACTATTGTAGTATTTATATATACTTATTTTGTAAAAATTATATTAATTAATTAAAAGCGATTCTCGTTTGCTTTATATATATTTATTTTCAAGTTCTGTGAATAAATATAAATATTAATTAAAATTTATTTAGAATAATCAAATATTGAATATGAACATGCGGTTACATAAGAAATATGGAATTGCAATTATTTAATTAGAGAATTTTGTATCAACATTAAACCATTTACTATAGTGAAGTAGTTTTTTTCCTTTATAGAGAGAAAGTAAAATATATTCCTTTAAATTTTTATTTTTTTAACAAAATTATTGTCTAAAGAATTAAAAATACAGTATAGCTAGGATAATGATTATTTTGAAATGTTTTTATAATAAATATTTGTTTGTTTTAAGTAAATTTTATTTGCTCTTTATAACATTTTTTCATTTGAAACAATTAAAGTATAAAGAACTGTAAACAATCTATATAGTTTTATATCTTGTAAATAATCTAAACCTTCAACAAATCAGATTGATTCGTTGGTTAATGCTTTCGACTAGTGTGCAAAAGCTTCTGAGTTCAATGCCCACTAACGAGATTTTTTTTCTTAAAAACAAAAAGTCCCTCAGTATTATAGTTATAATATCTTCTCATGTGATGAGAATGTAAAAAGATGTCTTCCAAAAAATTGCGTAAATTCTAATAGGGAGCAACTTTTCTGAAAAAAAATTCCACATGGATCTTAAATTCTATAATATGCTTTTGATTATTTATTCTCACATATGAATAAAATGTAGAAAGCTCATTATATACTCTATATATAGTCTAAAATAAAAATACATTCATTACACAATTTATTTTAGTTTATCAATTGGTTGTGCAAGCATAGTTTCCCTTGTTCAACTTAATATATGAATTCTGATATTATATTTAAGAGTAGAACCCTATTACAAAATATCGTGTCCTATTGTATATATTTTGTCGTCGCACAACTATGAAAAGCGAATGGCAGCGAATTTTGTGTCGTGCGAAGAGAACGGGGTGCTTTAATTGGTTCAGGGTAATTATTTTATTAAGTGAGAAGATGGCGGCTGGAATGCTAAGAGTGGCTGAGAGAGAGAATGAGAGATCAGAGAGTGAGAGGAATGATACAAAACCAGAGAAGACGGTGTCGGTGTGGTCTCATCGCTACGGGGGATAGAACGCTTAAATACTCACGCAATTCGAATCCAGAGTACAGAAACTGTTGCAATAGGTGAGGTACTCTACACTTGCTCACTAACCGTGCCTTTCAGTGGTGGTATTTATAATTAAGTTCCCGAAATTGTGGGAAACGAGGAATTAACTGAAACACCATTTTCATGACAAAAATTATTTCATATAACTTCAATTTACTTGTGATGCTTAATTCATTTTTATTGGAAATTTTAAATTCTTCAAAAAATAATAAAATTATTCTGTTATCTGATTTGTTTATTCCTTTATCGATAGAACCTCTTTAAATAAAAATCCAGATAGTACGTAAACTTGCAGCAACCTTGCGACAAGCTTGCCGCACAATATTGCCAACCTTACACGGTAAACTTGACGCAAGCTTACTGCAAGCTTCAAATGCCCCACCTGGCTTACCGAAACATTGCAGTGTAAGGTTACTGCAAGATTCCACAATAAGATTATCGCAAGATTGCTCAGTAAACTTGCACGGTATGCTTGTAGCAAGATTGGTGCAAGGTTGCCAAATAACCTTGCTTTAAACATACA